GTCTCACACGGTTCTGTTGCAAATTGTCCATGGAGCCTTACTAAAGTCAACTAAAAACTGGTAAATTAAGAGCCCATTCACGCAGGCTCTCCGATCAGGTCCACCTGACAATTTTTCAGGCAGACCTGATCAGATGCTCAATTTTAGTCTATAGCCGGATCTAAACGGAGAGGCGTCTGTTTACATGCGGTTACCCTTGGCTACGGCCAGGTCCGGAAAAACATATGGATCAGTGTTCCTTTTCGCCAGACCTGAACGTCCCGGATCAGAGGTAATCTGATGTTAACTGACACAAGTCCATTTACATCCGATTCCCCATAGACCAGGAGTGGGCAGCTCTGGCCCTCCTGCCTCTGGGAGTCATTTCTGTAACTGTCAGTCTTGCAGTGCCTCATGGGATATGTAGATCCACAACAGCTGGAGGGCCAGAGTTGCCTATGCCTGCCATAGACCAACATGGGTCAAGTCATTTCAGTTTTTTCCTCCATCGCAAGAGGAAAAAACTGGACGTACACAGATATCACTAGGGTGACATGCATTGAAAATCGGCAAGGCATCTGTGTATGGATCCCCTCCTGATTAGACCAGGTGAAAGGGGTCTAATTAAAGAGGACTTGAACTGGCCTAAAAAGATTCCTGTTTTAAGGTGGCTCCTTTCTGTTGCAGGGTCCTAAGAAGCCACCCCAGTGGATTCACCAGCACCTTCCGAAAGCAGCTGAAAGTTGGGGTAAGAGGTATTTGTTATTCTAATAACTTCATTTTTTGAAGGGGAATACCCAGATAAGTGGCGCACTGCCATGCAAGGCCAAGTTTATTGCAGCTTTATTAACACAGTGGAATAGAGCTGAAAGAAAAACTGCGAGGGATTCTTGGACAATTGGTCTATGGCCAAAGAGTCTCTTGCCCAAAAATATTAAGTAAAAGCCAAAGCTCGTAAAAGCTAGAAATGAAGCAGGTATGTGTTTCAGTCAGTGTTTCTGTGATTTAGTTATCCCAGGTTATTTGCGTGCTAGAGGTAGGGTGCTCCTAAAAAGCAACACTCCAAAAAACTCTCAACTGCCTCCTCAACATACACTCTTGGTGACAGAACAATGGAAAATGTTCGATTTATTATCCATAAATCAAATTGTACACATCACTTGCACTGGGAGTTATATTTTTGGTAAGATGCTCCCATAGGCTGATGTCACTGCACTTTATTTAGTGATTCTGTTGCCGGGATAGAAATGAATTATAGTCAATGAAAGGTCTGTGTCGCTGAAATTCCAACCAGTTTGTAGCTCTGTCGCTGAGCAATTGACTAATTCAGCATTTGGCGTGAGCAACAAAGTCACCAGCTTCCAAGCTACTCACGTTATACGCCTGCTAGTGATCATGCCACACCATTAATAGCCAGGCAATCCTGCAAATCACACATTTCCTGTCCCTGGGTGAATACTTTAACTCCTCGAATGCATCTATGGATAGAGCCATGGTTGTCACCCAGGCAGGACTACAAATATGTCCGCCTTTGCTCATCTCCTTACATAGGGCAGGGGTAGCCAAGCTCCGGCCCTCCAGCTTAGGTGGAACTACAAATCCCATGAGGCATTGCAAGATTCTTAAAGCCACAGACATGACTCCCGGAAAGAGATGCATCATGGGATTTGTAGTGTCAACACATCTGAAGGGCCGGAGTTTGGCTACCCCTGACATAGGGGATGGAGAGATTCACAGAAGAAAGATAAGATTGTGTTTACTTACAGTGCAGCTCCCAGGAAGTGACAAGGACACTGCATTTCAGGCACGATTGGTGGACCTTTTATGTAGTTACTGAAAATGTTTTTAGGATGAAAAATAAAAACCAATGCAGCCATTACACCTAAGGACCTGGATCCATTATGTCCGAGTCCATGGCCATACACCTGTGTGTGGCTGCTAAAACTTGTACTTGCAGGAAGCAACCTGTGAGGGTGCACAACTCCTGCCTCTCCATAGACTTTCATGAGCTGCCGCAAGCTTCTTCACGCAGCTCTGGACGCATCAAAAAAATGTTCCATCACGCTGTACAAGGCAACACATCCCGTGAATAAGGCCTATAGAGAGTTAGGAGCTCACAGGTTTTTTTGCCAGAATCAAGAGGTATTTTTCTGTACTTGCAGCCTTTTAAAGAGAAAAAACTTAGGGAGATATGCCTGTATTGCAGAGATGTACTGCATGTTTTATTTATTCTGCCAAGAGATATACTTTATGGTGTCCAAAACCATCATTTTAGAAACGTACATTTTGCAGACTTTTGAATCCAGATGTTTTTCATTGCTTTGCCCATTCTAAAAGAATACTGCAAGATATACCATATATCAAGTATAAAACTTTAATATTGGTCAGGGGTAGTAGTGTGGAAGTGCCAGTTTTCCATTTAAATGGATTTTTGACTATATATTTTATAATGTTGGAGATCTACGCATTGAGTGACGCATTACCTGATGTGAAACTACACGTCCTATTTGGCTCCCCCAGGGCATCAGAAATAGTGCAGACTAATGCAGAAATATTTTAAACATTTCACCTTCATTCCAAATCGAATAGTTGGCAAGTCAATAATTCATGTAATTACAGGCACATATCCAACTAAAGCAATCTATATCTCTGAACTCTGGCAATATACACATTACATAATCTTCCTCAGCAGAGATAGATAACCTTTGGCTATTCCGCTGAGGGATGTCTATAAACTAAAAATCGTACAATACACCTTAGTTTGGCCTTCTTTTCCAGTATAATTGTACATAGGGATGTGGGAGAGAGAGAGAGAACGAGAGAGAAAGAGTTAAATCAGGTTCTCGAGTCCCTTTTCCCTATTTTCTATTGCATACCATCTGATCGGACACTCACGAACACGAACATACAAAACACACACCCTGCAAGTACTTTTCTATACCTTTATAGCCAACCTGGGAGCCCCAAATCTCAAAGCACTCAATTATGCAAATCTTAACTTGATAAGTCCAACACTGGCGCATCTCCTCCCTTTCTGTCACACCTCATTATTGGTTCCTCAATGCCTGAAGGGGAACTAGTCCCTCGGCATCCCCATCAGGCTCCATCCACTTGTAGCGTCCTCAGTTGGCAGGAAAATTCTCAACTATTGCATAAAATCACTATATATATATATATACATATATAT